ATATATTTCATTTATAGACGTTAGTGTTTATACTTATTAACAAATATGTAATAGCGCGTCTTCAGTAGATTTTATTTTAAAAACACTATATATAGTTAGGGTTTCTACTCTATTGGACGTTGTAAGTTTATGCAAAATGGATAAAGTAAAGAATAAAAGGTCTGGTGTAGGTGGTGAACGTTGGATATTATGTCTAGAGATGAGATTAACTGCTATATTCGCATAGCGCGCTAAGTGCAAAATTTTTATTTGCTAAAATTACATTTATTTTAAAGTGCTAAAATTATAATTTTTAGCTGCTTAAGGTCGTGTGATCATGTAACAAATGGAAAGAAACGTAAAATAGTTGACGCGTGCTTACTTGCTAAGTATAGCATCTATAGTCTATCTATAGAATAGTCTACAGTTTTTTACGGCTAGTTACGACTGATTTCATTTCTTTTGTAATTATTACATATGGTGGTTACAAGTTATAGAAGATAAATCAATGAGCTTCCCTTCATACTTAAACAATTTACTATTTACAATTTGCACAAAACTTTATACTGGTTATCTACAGTAAATTACACTCATAGTAATGCTTTCTCCTACTTTTATATACAAATATTACAACAACTTATTAATTAAATAAACGCTAAACTAAGTAAATAAATTCAAGTAATTATATTTTAAATTAAATCGCTTCACCAGACAAAATTTTGCTAACGTTCCACCATTAGGTCAAAATCGTATTAAAACGTAACCAAAATTATAATTTATAACATAACTACAAGTAACATCAATAAACCAATCAGCTATTTAGCGTTTCGCACCAAATGTTAAATGCTACAAATAATATGTAAAAGTATTTCACGTTATAATTGTTTCCTATTTCACATAGAATATAGTGCCATCTATGAAATATTGAGGGACATAACTCAGGACGAAGAAGGATTTTGTTTGTTAGCTGCGTAAGTAAAGCGGCAATCGACACTTTGAAATATTGTAAAATTATGTCGCTAGATGGCATTTAGTTTCATTTTCTTAACGTACTCCAATCTAGCGATGTGACGAGTTGTATTTGTTTCAACTCGAGTTACTCGAGTTGACTTGACTGATAACTCGAAATGCAACTCAAGTTAACTCGACTCGGTGTTTGACAGAGGAACCGCGAGTCGCTATTAGAACTCGACCCGACGATTCACCGAGTTGGACACGATCGGCCGGCCGACCGCGACTCGAGCGTGACCGAAGGTCACCGAACCGACCGAGCTAGCTCGAGTTTACAAAGTGTAGCTCGAGTTAACTCGTTGTGGGAGTAACTCAAGTTAAATAACTCGACTCGCTCATCACACATAGACGCACAGTGGGCCCAAATTGATAATTCTTGGACAAAGGAATAAGTTGTGGAGTAATTGGAGAAAGTGGAGCAAATTTTTTTTAAATGATAGATAATAACATTCCTAACAACATTTATTCTTGTATAATTTCTTGAAAAGTTGATAGTTTCGGAGAAAAAAAATAATTTTGTTTTTTGTGTGGAGAAAATATTTTATCTCAAAATACACAAGTAACCCTACTTACAGTATAGTTCCAATCATTTTCTATGTAGATAAAAATAATCCATCTGCATGTACTTGCGGCATTTCGAGATAAAAATAAAATGTTTATTTCTCCAAACAAAAAAAACTAGTTTTTTTTCTCTGAAACAATCAGCTTTTTAAGAAATTACATAAGAATAAAAGTTATCAGGAATGTTGTTATTTATCATATGAAAAAATCAGCTCTGCAATCCTAAAATTGTTCCCATTATTAAATAATCATTGATAATTCTTGGCCATAGGAATAACTTGTGGAGTGCTGAGCAAATTTTTTTTTATGTGATAGATAATAACATTTCTAACAACTTTTATTCTTGTATAATTTCTTGAAAAGCTGATTGTTACAGAGAAAAAAAAATTTAGTTTTTTCTTGTTTGAGCAAATAAACATTTTATTCTTATCGCCATTTTTATTTTTAAACAATGACTATGAAGTAGCCGAGAAAAATTTATTTTCTTTTTAAAAAGTAAATCTAATTTGATATTAGCTTGCAGAAGCCTAGAACTTCTTGGAAATGGTTTGTTTTGTTAGTTATTTTGTATATTTAAGCTATCTGTAAATATTTAAAACCGAAAATCGATAACTGTATTTTTATTAAGTTTATATTTATACTTAAATATTTAAAATTCAGCGAGCGCATTACTTTTATGACAGGTTTCACATTACTTTTCACAATGTATTTAAAGTCGCACGTCAATTCGCGCTTTCTATACGATTAAACATTGCGCGAAACTCTAATTTCGCCATGTTGCAATTTTGACAGTATATTTTGTAAGCCATTAATCTTGAAATCTATTAGTATTAAGAGAATTGTGTCTTATGTTTGTAACGCTTTAGTATTTTGGTTTTAAAATAGCATTACTAAAAAAACTATCATAGACTATAAATTATCCAAAAACTGTCTACAAGACTTGTAAGTCAATGACAAGATTAAATTAGTCTTGTCTAAATAAAAACTGTCTACGTTCTACAAATGGTCTTGTAGCTTTCTAGAAGGGTTACTTGAGAAAAAAGATAAGAATCAGTCTTAACACTACCTACAGATAATTTCTGAAAGCACTCTTGTGATCTACTAATAAAGTTATGCCCACTTTTAATTTAAATTATCTAGAAACCTTCTTCGAAATATCTTGAGGGAATTTGAACTCTTAAAATATTCAATCGAATTAAATTCTATTAGATATCTTATAGTATATATTTAGATATGGGTGTGCTTCTTGGGAGGCGCTCACTACGAGGAAAAAGGAACCTAAGCACATGCTCAGAGAGGTAAAAATAACGTGTCCCAATAAAATTACTGTAAAGCAAAGATGGTTAAGTCACATTTCTAGGAATCTTTGTATAAAACGAGTCACAGCAAGCTACGATCGCCCCATCTGCTCGATTTGGCCCGGTTCCATTGCCTGTCGAGCTTGTTTATATATTTTAATAAAAGTTACCACTTTACATGCAGATTTATTTTTCATGTACAAAGCTTGCACAGGTGCAGCCGAAGTAAAATAGTGAAAAATTTACGTAGATTTAAAAAAAGTAAGGTATTGATTTTTTTAATTCAGTTGATAACTCAACATGGTGAAAAGAAAAATGCTTATACATATTGACATTGACTGGTCTCATTCCAGAGAATTTCCTCTAATATGAGTACCAGAGCAACGAAATTCACTTTGGGACACTTTCCAGAAGACCCAGACCATAACCAATTTAGAAAAATTCATTTCCCAAATTGATCCTACAGCAGGATGCGGAAATCTCGGGTTCGATTCCTAGGGTCGTATTCTAGAACTCTATTCAATGCTCAAGTCAGGATTGCACTGGCAACACAAGCACTGGAAATACGACCCTAATGGCAGGGACTTGAGTACGATTTCGAGTGCTTTAAACCATACTCAAATCATGAATTGAGTAGAGTTCTAGAATACGACCCCTAGAACCCAAGATTTCCGCATTCTGCCCCTACATTGTAAATAGTTAGACCACTGAGGTCGTTACAAACAGTGATATAAAAGTTTCAAAAGATTAAAATCTTATAATAATATAAAAAATAAGAAGAAATAAATTCATTGCAGGTGATATTGATGTTAATATTACGTATTATCGAATGTAATATAGCCATCGAAACACTGCCAAAAAAGAGTTACGAAATTGAAGTTTGCAGCCTTACATTGCAGATAATAAAGAAGTCCAAGGGATAAATATTATTCATATTGTTAGGGACTGTAGTTACGTATTCACCCTTCTATGGAAAGGATACTTATTTAATATTATTCGATTGTTTGCAGACAAACAGCGTTATAAAAGGTCTATATGGTCTCGTTTATAATGTTCAAATAAGAAATTGACCCTCTGGCGTCTTCCTTCTTCTTTTTTGTATGTGACGCCAGAGGGTCACATACAAATAAGAAATAATTTCAGCAAAAGACTTAATATAAATAAACTAAAAATAAAATCAAAATAATTATTATTGGTATGCAACCAATAAAATACACTAACTCTAAAATGTAAGAACGAAATTTGTTTTGAAAGAAAATAATTTTAATGTTACGCATATACATATCGATTGTGGTAATTTGAAATGTCCTAATATTAAAACTAAAGTCATTTTCTCTTACGCTTGTATACCAATAAAATGTACCAACTCTAAAATGTTTTGAATGATGATATGTTTTGAAAGAAAATGATTTTAATGTTACGCATATACATATCAATTGTGGTAATTTGAAATAACTTCAATTAGTTTTCATTGTTTTGATGTCCTTAGAGACATTTCTAATTTCCAACGTGGATATAGACATTTCTAATTTCCAACATCGATACAGACATTTCTAATTTCCAACGTCGATATAAAGGGAAATAATTTTGTCGATGTATAGAAATTTTGAAATTTTCCATTATGACAAAATATTGTTTATTTTTATTTTATTTTTTTATTTATTTATTTGCATTCATGTTACAAAGACTCATAAATACATACCTTATAGACTAACATACATAATAATAAAATAAAACACTTATATAATATGTACCTTAAGGAATAACATATATACAATATTAGAAAACACTATTTCTAACTAAACGAATTGCACTTGTCGGCGACGTGTGGCGCAATCTGGTGTCAGGTAACCGGCCGAGGAATGGCCGATACATGACACCCTTCCGCCAAAACTCTTCCTTCATGAAGGTCGACAGATGTTCGGTTGGTGCCCTCACCACAAACGAATTAAAATTTACGTTGTGGCGGGACTCCAACCGCTCGACCCTCAGGGTGTATTTGGCTTTATGTCTTATGTACTCCACTATTCTCCTCAGACTTCGCGGAGTAATGCAGTCGTGACAGGTACAGCAGCGTCGTCGGTATGGCCGGACGCAGCAGGAAGTTAGGTCCTGTCGGTGCTGTGCCACACAGGTTACGGCTGGTGGGCTTCCTCTTCCTCTCCATAACCTTTGTGAAGCTGTTCTCATCGCACAGGTCCGTCTGCCTCTGTGGTTTTGCAACTTCAGAGACAGGCTCACGGGGATTGGTTTTGTTCTTAGCCGATTGCCGCCTCTCGAATTTCAAGTGGCGAGTCGGCTGGTACAAGCGGCTACAGCGGCGTATGCACGTGCAGGGGCTGACATGCACACGCGAGACGTTTCCGCTGGGACGGAGGTGCGGGCAGCAGGGGGCGGCGCTTCACGCGCGACGGCAGCTGAGATCGGTGACGCAACCATTTGAGCCGACTCGACAGTGCTGATGGATGCATAATGCGCCCCACGTCGCGTGTTTATATTAGAGGCTTCTGGTGACCTACGTACCGTAGCAACGTTGCTTAATAACGCAACTTGGGTACGCAGCTCACTTATGGTGTTATCTGAAGCCTCCACTTTAAACTGCAACTCGGCCAGACTTGACTTCAGGGAAGTAATATCTTTCAGCAGCCTGGTGACATCGACTCAGGAGTGGTATAATATCCTGGAGACTCTTCACGCCTCTATCCCTCCGGCGAGATCTTTCCAGTTTTGCCGAGGCTCTGAAACAGCAGCATCTTGCCACTGCAAATTTCATCCTCATTTAAGTTGAACTTGCAAATCTGTTCATGCTGACCTCGTCCATGGTATCGATGGCGTGTCGGATAAACGCCAAAAGCTCATTGGCTATGAGTTGTTGGGAATCCATTGCCACTTACGCGCAGCGGCCTAATATGCTGCGCGAAACTGGAATTATAATAATAATTCTCACTGCGTAGTGGAGCGCGTCCGTTTCCGAACGCGCACCGACCGGTACTTGAATATTCCTTAAGGCATTTAAATTTCCACCATCGATATACGTTCTCGCTTCTTTTGCGTAGTTAAACGCTACGAAATACGTCGTAGAGTTTTAGTGTCTACGTTCGAAACAACGTAAAATAGTGGCAGAAGTATACATACAATAAATTATAATAATATGTATATGGTAAGTTTTCTAGTTAGATGTTGGATGTTGTTGTCTGTCTGTTGCTGTTATATACATTATTAACATTTCATATTTATATTGTATTGAATATTGTATACATATATAATGGAACACAAAATAAATAAATCTCATAGTAGTATAGCTTGTAAGATTAAGAAGATATTTTTTCTGAGTGTTCGATCTTTGTTTTAATAATTATAACAAACTAGTGGAGTAATTTCACAAAAAAGAATTGAATATCAATTGAATAAAAATTTAATTAATACAGTAAATAGCGACATCTCTCGCCAGGACTGGTAGCTGTAAAGGTACTAACTAGGTGATAAATCTTTCATAGATTTCTCATAGATGGCGCTACGACTAAAAAGTCGTCTGGCACGGTATGCAAGAAGACGTCGGTTTGAATCCGACCGGATCGAAGGATTTTTTCTGAGTGCTCGATCTTTGTATTAATAATTATAAGAAACTAGTGGAGTAATTTCACAAAAAAGTATTGAATATCAATTCAATAAAAATTTAATAAAGATAACCTACATTTAATCAGATTCTACCAGCATTATAGACATCTGTAATTGATGGATGACTGTGCCTGACGTGGGTGCTGGTGCGGGTCTGAGCTGTATCAGACTTCGATAAAATATCTTAAGGTATCTGTTTTTTTCGAGCAACCATTTCCGAGAATGTATAGTACATGCATTCTATATATATTGTCCTGTCCTATTGATAAAGTTATCAGAATAACGCTCGGTTCCATTTTGTATCAAAAATTAGTTTATTCGATATGCAATACAATACAAGAAAAACAAAACGAAAATTAATATTTTTTTATGATACCAAGTGACGGGAGGACCAAGTCGTGCGCCTGGTGGTAAACGACACGCTTGTCCATAGCAATTGCAGTGCCACTCAGAGGTTTAGTTGTTAGTTGACAAGTCCTATGTGTTGATATAGTTTCACCAGCACCCTTACCCTTCAAAACCGGAACCGGAACTTGGCGGCAGAAGTAGAGAAATGACGAACTCTTTCCGAAGGAGCTGCTACTGCTACTAAAATAACAACCGCACCACTGCAGTGATCTCAAATTAGGAAATTCCCGGTACTGTGAGTACCAGAGAAATGTAATTCACCCCAGGGCACTACCTGGAGCATACATTCTAGAACCAATTTAGAAAAGGTCATTTCCCAAATTGGTCCTACCGGGAATCGTACTCGGGACCTTCTCATCCAGCCCCTACAGAGCAAACCGTTGAGTCTGTCGTCAATAATGTTACCTAATATGAAGTTTATTAAATATCATGTTTTAATACCTATAATACATATAATCCATAAACAGTCTTATTATGATATAGGTTCAGATAACACTTCTCTATAAATGGTTTTAGAAAAAAGAAATTGGTGTTATAAACTTATTTCATGTATTTAAAGTCGTACGTCAATTCGCGCTTTCTAAACCATTAAACATTACGCGAAAAAGTTAGAAATATTATATCTAATTTCGCCATGTTGCAATTTTTATAGTTTATATTTTGTAAGCCATTAAACTTGAAATCTATTAGTATTAAGAGAATTTCGTCTTACGTTTGTAACCCTTTAGATACTTTGGTTTTAAAATATCATAACTACGAAAACTATCATAGAGTATAAATTATCTAAAAACTGTCTACAAGACTATCCTGTTCTACAAATGGTCTTGTAGCATTCTAAAAGAGTTACTTGAGAAAAGAGATAGGAATCACTCTTAACACTACCTACAGAGAGTTTCTCAAAGCAATCTTGTGATCTACTAATAAAGTGGTGCCCACTTTTACATTAAATTATCTTGAAACCTTCTTCAAGATATCTTATCTTGAGGGAATTTGAACTCTTAAAATATACAATCGGATTAAATTCTATTAGATATCTTATAGAATATATTTAGATATAGATGTGCTGCTTGGGTAGTTTGTTGTAAAGTTCCTTCGATCCGGCTGGATTTGAACCAACGTCTTCAGCATATCAGGCCGACGCTCTCCCAACTGAGCTACACAACGACCTAGCAGACCTTATGAATTTTTCTACGTGCTTGTCTTCGTGCGGATCTTTGTTTTTGGATTCTAACGACTTTTTTGCCGCTGTGCCATCTGTGAGAAATCTGGGAAAGTTTTTCTTGACTGACAGCCAGATACCTAGTTAGTAGGTAGGTAGTGTAGTTATTTTATTTTTATTTCTCTACTACTTGGTGAGTATTTTCAATATAAAATAATACAAGTGCTGATGACACCTAAGAAAAAACTCGTAAATAGATGGTTATTAAACTTAAAACTTAAAACTTAAACTGCATCCGTGGCCGAACGGTTACCATGCCGGACTGCCACGCAGAGGTCCCAGGTTCGATTCCCGGGCCGGGAGAAATATTTGTATGGCCTACATTTATTTCTTTCGTGAGTTTGGGTGTAATTTGTGGTTGTCTATATGTGTGTACATGGCACCCGCGACATAGGGTTTCCCTAGTGCGGGGCTATGTTGAGTGTGAGCGTTATTATTATTATTATATATTATTTTTTTAGATGTTCTAAGAAACAATTGAAATTAACAATTAAAACCGAAAGTACCGAATAAAAAAAAGTGTCATTACGAACATAGGTTAGGTTAGTTTAGTGCAGTTAACAATTAATCAATTTTCAAGCTTTTCAATGTTTTTGATTAACAATTAGAATTGACAATTGTGATAAATTTACAGGCCATAAGGTGGTGGGCTAGGGGGTTGAATTAGGGAATGGATTAGGGGGTCTGTTAGGGTAGGTTAGGGGATCGGTTAGGGGGTCGGTTAGGAGGTTGGTTAGGGTGTCATTTAGGGGTTCGTTTAGTGTCAGTTCGAGGTCGGAAAGGGGGTTGATTAGGGAGTCAGTAAGGGTTCGGTTAGTGAGTCGGTAAGGAGGTCGGTTAGACGGTCGGTTAGGGGTCGATTAGGGGGTCGGTTAGGGTTCGGTAAGTGAGTCGATTAGGAGGTCGGTTAGGGGGTCGGTTAGGGGGTCAATCAGGGGGTCGGTTAGGGGGCCGGTGAGGGGGGCGGTTAGGTGTTCCCACCTGTGTGTTTTTTTACCGGGGGAAATATTTATAGATACCCCTGAGCTCAGGGAGACTAAGGGGTTATGTGGGGACTCTCCTTCCAGACTGGAGGGCCTACCCCACTAAAACCCCCCGGGTTTACCTCTCGCCGGTTGAGTCGGCGCCGTGGGGTCCGTGCACATTCACCACCAAAAAAATCATGCATTAAAACAGTAATAACTAATTTCATAAATTTCCCACATGTGACGCTGGCGGCAAAAAGTCGTTTAAACTCAATACAAGCATCTACAACAAGCACATAGAGAAATTCGTAAGAACTGCTGATTCGGTCTGTTGTTCAGTTCCTATCTACAGACCCGAGAGATAAGAAGTTCCGGGGAGACTACGCGCGCTCGATAAGACTAGGGTACGGCGGGCGTTTGTGCCGAGCTCTGGCGGACCCGGAGTTGGGTATGGACTCGCCGGGGTTTGCCTCAGTAGCATGTGGCCGGGGCGTTCGTCTCGAGCGCAGCTAGCTCATCTTAGTAGCGGTGTAGACGAGGGCCTAATGGCGAGGAGACGCGCGGGGCATGTGACTTGCACTTTAAGTCGTTAGCTCCAGACAAGGATGCGCTAGACATCCTCCGGTCCCGGAACTGGAGAGACGCCGTTTTTCGGCTTCGGGAAATGAGAGTGCCTTAAAGCTCCGCCACCAAAGAGATGTGGTAGTCGGCTTAGAGTCGATGGAGCGTGCCTACAGCTCCGATACCTATCTGGAAAATAGGGAGGGTGCTGTACGTGCACCCGGGGCGGCTCACCTAAGGCACTAGCCTTACAGATAACCGGATGAAGACGGACAAACGGTCTGACCTGGGGTTAGGTTAGGAAGGATCTGACTTAGATGGTCTCTGCGCGGGCATGCTCGCTACTATGACCTGCGCGGGCATGCTCGCGCCCTTCTCGTATACCACCCTAAGGGTCGGTAGGGAGGGTCACTATAATCAAAATTAATGTAGAAAGATATGAGGCTGTTGTTCAGTTCGTCAACTCAGAGTAAAAACGGTGGCCCCGGTGTGGCCACAGACAGTGCCTGGTTCGAGTCCAGTCAACTCGAAAGATTTTTTCTTTTTGTTGTTCAATTTTTGTATCGATAATAATAACAAACTAGTGGTGTATTTTCACAAAAAATATAGAAATATCATGATATTCAATGAAATAAATAAAGTAGTAACTAAAATCACGAATTGATTGGAAACCCTGACTGTTTTCTGAGACCGACCTTTTTTTATGAGACGAGTAAGTCATGCGCCTTATGGTAAGCGACACGTAATTGCGCCTGTCACCCTAAGACGTAAGTTGAAAAGTCCCATGCGCATATAATTTGACCAGCACAGTTACTCTTCAGAACCGGAATGCTGTAATTTATTTTATTTTTTATTTATTTGAATTTAAAAAGGAGGTACAATATATTTAAATAAACATAGTGCTACAAAACTGTATATGCAGTTTGACTGCAGGATCGAAACGCAAAAAGTTACAAACTGTCAATAATGTTGTTAAAAATACTTAAACAATATAATTACTAACTATTCAACAATAATTATAAAAAATGTATTAAATGCTCGCATTACTGTTGACGGTAGAAATAAGTAAGGTAGCAGTACTTTTGTTAGGGTCCTAATGGGACGTAACATAAAAAGTGGACTGTATTACAATAGAGCAGGTATATTCGCCGTCTTAATCAAGTGAAAAAATTGGTTCGCAAGTAATACAAAACTGTAGAAAGGTCGACCGTCGCCGGTGGCTGATGATAAGGCGAGTGCCCTTCGTCGTAACGTCACGTTAGGCTGTGTCGGCTTGTCGTGGTGAATGTTCACTGATCCCACGGCGCCGACTCAACCGGCGAGAGGGAAACCCGGGGGGGGTTTTAGTGGGGTAGGCCTTCTAGTGTGGAGGGAGAGTCCCCACATAACCCCTGAGTCTCCCTGGGCTCAGGGGTACCCATAAAGATTTCCCCCCGTCAAAAAAAAAAAAAGGCTGTGTCGGCTTTCCACGCGTCTCGTACTGAGCGTGTATAGGACCGGCTCGCAACAATTTCCCTGGATGAACTCTTCATAACAAGGATCTCTACTGCTACTGGTCTACCAAATCTACTAAGTAAAATGTACCACGTACTTGTACTTGTACATTGGTTGGTTATTTATACAGAATACTCATCAGTAATAATTGCTGTAGGCACATTAAAATTAATAAACATAAATGTGTATATACACCCATGCCAGAATACATGTTTAGCAATTACCTATATAGGTACAAATATGGTAACATACTTTTATACTAACTGAATGTTAAGTAAAAAACAATTAAGACAAAAATCATCTACGAAGGCAAACATTGTCATCGACGATTACATACAATTCTTGATGCCACATAACATATTGATCGAATATTATTAACTCTACGAATATTATTACACATCTGTCGGTATGATACACAACACACAAACAGCTTTTGATATTCTGAACTGTTTATAAAAACGTTTTTCAAGGTACATAGGTAATATGGATATGTCGACATAGATTTAAATTTACAAATAATGTATCTTTGATCACATTATTCACCTTTCTCAATGTAATTTTATTTTTGTTACATGTGGAACAGTGAATGTGTAAAAACAAACATACAGACATGAAAATTGCTTATTATTATTGATCGGCATACTAAGTTAGGGAATTAATTTATAACTTAATTACTTAATTACTGTAAGTAAATAGTATATTAAAATATTAATATAATCCTTATTACTACTGTCTTAGAAGTTAATTTTCGCTAAATAACGTAAATCAAATCTGAAATGTGCAACAGTGTAAGAAGATTTATACAATGAAAATGCCTCGTGATAATACTAACTAATATAAAGCTACACATTTTTATTACAAAATATTTCCATGTTTAATCGAGTCTTAACGTATTTGTTCCGTTATTGTGATTGCTTCGTATCGTTGTAGAAAAAATGGTCTCTGTAGCTGACCGATGTGACTTGCGGCCCTTCAGGAAATCCTTTAAAATTAAATTAAAATTGTGAACACAGAGTTTGATGTCATTTCAATACGTATTAGATTATTTAGTTCAAAAAATTTTTTTGTTAGGAATCAGGATTGATAGAATGTCACACGCCAACACAACAAGCTACACATTGACGTGCATTTTGTTCCGTTGCAATAGAGGCGATTTTCGGATAAAAATGTGTAGTCTGATGTGCCGTTGTCCGTACTATATTGGCCCTTTAAACTCCAAAGTTACCACACCAAGTAGGTTTTATGAAATCAACCGTAACCGCTCCGGTGAAGGTTGTCCAACAACCTACCGTAATTTAGTTAATTTAAGTAAGAGCGGTTACACACGGTGACTTTTAGCAGCGATGCAAATCGCGCGACGAAAACATCGCGCGATTGAGAAACGCGCGATTGCATCATGACACTACCGATTTATAGGCGGTTGCATCGATACATTAGAGCGTTTGCAACGATGTAGTCGCGTGTTTTGCATTGCGATCATATAACTACAGCTGCGACAGTATCGCGATTGTATCGCTGTTGAAGTCTTGCGTGTATTATAAGGTAGACGACTAGCGAGACACTATTGAATCGCTGCAGACGCACTGCTTAAAATTGCCGTGTGTAATCGCTCTTAGCGGCGGGGTGTAGAGTTACGAATAAAGACTACGAGTACTATTAATTGGAGAAATGTAATTCTCAGCTGTGCTTTGATAGATTAGGGGCCTAAGTCTTTTTCTAATCAAATAGGCGTATTGCGTTGTTTTAATATGTAAATATACTTTTAAGAAGGAAAGTAAACAAACGTATTCCAATATTTACAGATTCAAAAACATACTTGTAGATAAATAAGAAAAGCTATTTTCGATACGAAATGACGTGAAATGGTTCCGCAGGAAAAAGTTGAATACGCCATAGATTTTATCGTGGTGGTAGTAAGTAAATAAGTCTGTTTATAAAAATAACAGAAAATGACCAAAAATACAGTTGGCGTTAGTGTTCATTGGAGGTATCGATATGATCTGAAGTACTTTATATCACTTGGAATTACTTAGTAAACGTGTTTAAGTCGATATTTAGGTACCTATTTCATGAATATATTTGGCATTTAAACTTCAAGTTAACTATAATATTATTTAATAAATAACTATATTGCTAAAATAAATTGTATTTTTAAAAGTATCTAACTATTTGGCTGATATGTTTACCAGTGAAATAGTCTTTGTATTCGAAAGTAAGTTTTCACTTTTAATAAAAACATTCGCAAGTAAGTTTTTACTTTTTCGTAAAAACTTACTTTCTAATACAGTTATTGTGTAAATAGACAGCGGCAGGACGACAAAGTTAACCAGTTTGACTAAAGTATCGACGTCTCAATTAACAAATTAAATTGAATACGGTTGAGTTTAGTACAGATTATTTGCAAAGTAACCAAAAAATATATATGGACGGTACTGCGCGCATTCAAAGTGTTTGTCGAAAAACCGACAACCGATGAATCACAACGTATGGAAAATGGTACATTGCATATAGTGTTGGAAATAACTTGTACCCGGCTTAGTGCACTAAGTATTTTACAACTTTGTATTTGAAGGTGGAATGTATTAGTACTTATTTATTTGTTTTTTTATAAGTTATAAAGTGGGATCCTATATTTACAAATTACCTGAATGATGCAAAAAGTGTGTTTTTATGCAAATCTTAGATCTTCGAGCATGCTATGTAGCTCTTGGGCAGACGAAGAAAAGAGGATAATGTCATCCGATCCGCTAAACGGAGGTTAGTTAACCTTTTCTCGCCGATATTAATGCCTCTCCTTCCTACCGAGTTATTAGCTTCCTAAATATTTCTTCGAGGGTACTGGTAAGGAGTTTTTGCGATAGCGGGTCACCTTGCTTAACACCTTAACAGGTTTGCATGTAATATTAAAATTGTTACGAGTAGTTGACTTTTTATTTCAGAATGGTACTTATTTAAAAAACACGCCTGATATTTTTTAATTGAATAAAAAACGTGTTTATTTTTAGTAAGTACAAATTTTTGTATTCAAAGCAGTTGTTCGAAACTAAAACCTATTTACGAGTGTTATATTCAATGTATAAGAGCGTTTAATGTCAAAATTTTAGATACATCTAGTTTTATTTTCAAAAATTTATTTTTGTAACGTTAACTTAATTTAAAGGTTTTTGATGTCTCTTGTATTTACGGAATAATCGCCTGCGCACATTTAACGATTACAACTAGTATAGACTTTATCGAAGACATTGTAGCATATAATGGTAATAAATCTTACTTTGAAAGCCTGCCGGAACTTTTTCGACATGAGGCTGTAGAGGATCGGGTTTACCGCTGTCGACACATAAACGTTTACAGCACATAAGTAGTTGAGGATACGCCAAACCTGAAATAAGATAATGTAAGAATATCAAGAAAATAAATATACTAGGGCCAATTCAATTCATATGTTTAGCATAAGACATTTATGTTTTATTTTAGTATAAATGTACGTATACGTGAAATACATGAGTCGTCAATCAAATAAATATAATGATATTACAACACTTTATCTATTTTAAGAGAGTTTGATATAGAATAATAATTTTAAAATGCATCTTTTGGTTTTTTTTTTTCAATATTTATTTAAGAAATAAATATAAAGTTTATTGAAATCGCGATGGATTACTACCATGATATTCAGTTTTTTTTGTAATATTGCTTCACTAGTTTCTAATTATTACTACAAAGATCGAACACTAAGAAAATTCCTTCGATTCGGCTGGATTTCAACCAGCGCTTTCAGCATACCGAGCCCGACGCTCTCCCATCTGAGCTATAGAACGAACCAGCAAACTTTACGAAATTTTTCAATGTGTTTGTTGCAGATCGTTTTTCGTTTTTAAAGACTTTTGGCCGTATCGTCATCTGTGAGAAATCTATAAAAGTTTTTCTTCACTCAGCCAGACACCTTTACAGTTACCAGCGGCTGACTAGAGATGTCGCTTTAATAATCATAAAATTAAGTTTGCAATATTAATAACTTGTAAATAGGGGTGAAAATGTATTTTGTGTATTAAGGTGGACGAAAATAGCCTTTCCACACGATGTATCATTCCTTTCACCATGATGGCAAGCATTATGAACCATGGATAAAATAATAAGAGAAGGGATAAAAACAGGGTGGTTTGCACCGATATTACCATGGGACCTGCAAAATTCGAAACGTTGGTTTGTTTGAGAAAATAAATAAAATATACATAAAGTTATATAGTTAAACTTTTCTGATCTAAACCTGATTTAGATCCAAAAAGAACTAGTTTCTTTTCCAAAGTTTTGTTCAATGTTTTTAAAAAAATACCGAATTTCATTGAAATCGGGCTAACAGCGGTCATACTACCGTGATATGACAGCAAACTATGTAAATTTTATGCAAAATTCGTACTAAATATTCTACATGTTTTTTTAAATTTCAACTTTCCTTTACATTTCCACAGACTTGTGACTTTTTGTCAAAATTCGAAGTAATTGTTGTATTATTGTATTTAGTGTGCAATTTTTACTTATAGTAGAAGATCCTCAGTAACTGACTGAATTGTGAGGGCATATTGCCATGCAGTTATTAAGCTAATGCATCCTCTAAACTGAGTTTCTGACTGCTAGTCCCTTCAGCAGGTGGTCAACGCTGTTACACAGCGGAGTGCAATTACGAAGTTAGCATACAAAGCACTTAGTGCAAAATCATAGTTTTCGCTGGAACTAATGTTCCAAGTGATGCGAGATGTCATCTGTTAGTGCATTCTGTATCAGTACAATTTTGGAGGTGTGTAATGTATCACATAAATATTCACATAACGCTCAATTGCCATAATTTTACTTCTTATAAACTCATTTAATATAGCAGTTCTCTTCAAATAACGAACATTTAATATAAACTTACATTCTATAATTTAATTGTTTTATAACGATTGACTCTAACATTCATTTTTGATAACAATCGTAAGTTATAAATCACGGTTAACATAATATCATTTTATCTAAATTTCATTTCATCTAGAAATAGGATTACATTTCGAAAAACGATATCCCTAATACTAATATTATATTAATTACAATTTGGCTTGAAAACATGTTCGGAAGCGCAAACAAAGTCGATTCTGGTACTC